ATACTTTTTTCTCTTTTTTTTTAATTATTTGGCTTATCATGAAATTAATCACATTCCAAATATGCTTTTATCTTATTAAAAAGCGTTGTGTAGTTATGCTCAAATAATAAATGTTAATTAAATATTTATTTTGTCTTGTATTTGAATATTATTACTGTTTTTTATACTTTTTTTTACATGAGAATGTTATACTCATTCACTAGGTAATATAATTTTTTTTATTTTATTTTACGTTCTTATTCTTAATTTTTGTTTCATTTCAAGAATTGGTTTTTTACTAAAACAATGTTCATAATCTTTCCACCATTGGACTATTTGATATTTTAAAAGTTTTCTTATATCTTTAAGATATTTTTCATCTTATCGTATAATTAATTATAAATTTGTTTTCTTTTTGTGGGATTAACTTGTTTTTATAACACACATGTGATTATTTTTATTTTTGTTTAAATACTTGCACAACATTCATATATTCATACAATCTCAAGACAAATCATGAATCATACACAATTGCTTTTTATCAATTCAACACATACAACTTATCATGTAATCTAATGCACACCAAATAACAAATTTAAAATCTTCCTATTATATGTATGAAAAACAAATTAGTTTTTCTTACTTGTTAGAAACTCCAACGAACTCTAGACAACCTTATTTTGCTCCTGAGCTCAAAGAGATCAAACAACAACATGTACATGCCACAAAAACATTATCAGGGTATACTATTAGAACTATTGATCAGTAGAAAACCTAAGAGAAAACTCAACCCATACAAGCAAGGGAAACCTCACATGCATTGAAGAACGTGAACTAAAAAACTGATAAAAAAACTGACTTACTTTATTTGAGAAATTGATCGGATAAAATTGAAGATATCACCACAAGGATCACATAGGCGGTTTCCGATCTTCAAACAAATGAAGAGGGTGCAAGAACCCTTAGAGAGAATACAGAAGACTCTAGAAAAGTAGTTTCTAGAGAGATGATGTGTTTTAAAATAATGAAACTCGTTTATAACTATTCATTTTTATATTAAAACCTTTTAATATTAAAATAATAGAGTCTCATTATTTTTAATTCACTATCATTTTTAAAATATCATTTTCTAAGTCTTCACGTTAAAATACCATTTTGTAGATCTTCACACTTTTGATTTAACAAATCATCTAAAATTGATTCCTAATTTGATTATAGAACAATTTAATCACTTATTTCAAATTTTAAAATTCAATTTAGTAACCATAATGTTTAAATTATTGGTCAGACATAGCTCTCTACTTAGATTTTACTTGGTTATTTTATCATGAAAGTAAAATATTTAAGTTGTCAATATGTTTTTCACTCAAATTGGATACTTTGATAAGAAGAATCTCCGTGTACTTTATGGCATACACCATTTTCTTTCTATCATATGGAAAGAGAAACAAATTCAAAGATGATTTTGAATGAGTATATAATATAAAATTATTATCATATTAAACTCTACATGGTACATATAAAAGGAGGAATATACTAAACCTTGATCCATCAGTCAGATGCTCAAGTGCTGTACATTGTATCTTCCCAGTTCCTTCAACATTATTCTCCACGAAGTTTCTCTTCCATTAATTTTGTCTTTTTTGCAAGTCAATTGGTCTTCTTTATTAATTTCTACATGTATCCACCTATCTTGGTTTTTTATCTTTTCTTCATACATTATGACTAAGTCTAAAACAAAAATAAAGAAAATCATTGAACCATCTTACAAAAATATAGACAACAATATATGACATAATTTCTGTGTAGTGTGGCCATAAACTTAATTTAAGTGGTGTTATTCATATTATTTTTCTTACTATATCGATATGTTAGGGTTTAGAACAACTAACTTATCTTACCTTGTTAAACCAACGAAAAGTTTCTTCAACTAGTCAATTTCTTAGAACAAGAAATTTTTAACTATACTAATGCTGATTGGTATTTTAACCAGAGAAGGGCTCAAATTAGCTCTTGCATCCTTCGATCTACGTATTTTTTCTTTTAATAAAATCGAAACAAAGTCTTAATAATTTAAGTCTAAAAATATATTTTTCAAGTATTAAAAAACTAATCTGTTATTTAATGGAAGTTTTCTGTTTTTTTTTAATTGATGAAGATTTTTATTCTCTATAAATTAATTTGTAGGAGTTTTTTAAATCTTTATGTTTAGAATCACTACAATCAATTTTCAGAGACTTTTAATATTAAATTTATATTGCGAAAGTTTTTTTTCTCTTTTATTAATGATTATTATTTGATAGAGGTTTGAAATATTTTTTATTTATAATTACTCATCTATATTTATAATTTCTTAATTTAATAAAATATGTTTTTTATAATAAAAAACAAAATATATAAATTTGTAAAATACATAAATTAAAATTAATTTTATTGATGATTTAAGATAAAGTATATTCAATAACAATTATAATGTAAATATAAAGAAAAACACTGATGGAAAAAGAAATATTTAAGAGACAAATCTTATTGTGATTAACATCACCTTCAAACTCTTTAAAATGTGTTATCCAATCTAAGAATTCAACTTCATCCATGACATGATCAACTTCATCCATGTTAACATTGTATTTCACATGATTAATCACCTTCACCAAAATAATGTTATCTTCCCTGTTGGGCTTGGTTGAACACAATCTTATGACATTCTTCACCACCACCACCTGTCCACAACATAAATCAGTTAAGGTTTGATCAACAAGCAACAAAACAAAAAACATAACAAGAAGCATAATAATGAGCCTGAAGCTCAAAATAGGAAGTAAAAGTTAATTTTAGATTAGTTATATTTAACACGTTGATACTACTACAATATATAAAGTAGATAATAGAACATAGTGAACACCAGAAGCAAGACAAATCATATATAATACTAGCCATTTACTTATGCAACCAATTGAATTCAATTTTAGTTCTATAGAAACAAGTGTTTGACTTTAAATTCCTAAACACTACTCTCATTTTATTCAAAGATGTGTTTGGTCATGCACTAATATGTATTAATGACTAGGAAATCAAATCAAGACTGCTAAAATATTCAACCATGGTCCTGCATGCTGGCCAAAATAGATGATTGCACTTTCAAAAGCAAATGTCAGCTTTTACAACAATATGTTCTTCATAGTGATAGATAATTGAACTTAAAACTATAAGTTTAGTTTCTTTTATATTAAAGAATTTCGTATTACTCAAAAGTTAAAAGAAAATAAAACTTATATACATCTTTTATACCTTAGAATAAAAAAGCGATGAAAGAACGCATCAAATAGTAGAGGAAAAAATTATTCAACTCTTATTTCTTAGTCTCAATTAAATACTTATTCAAATACTATGAAAGGTCTCGTACTATTTAAAAATGAATATAAAAAAAATTAAAAGCGAAGACCATCTATTTATTAAATGATACATTAAATATATATACTGGTCCTATCCTGTGGCATTAACGCTTGGACTAACATTCTAAACTTATTGGATTTTTTTAAAACTATGACTTGAAGGTTGCGTTATATCTTCGCCAAACTTTCTTTCCAAGCAATCTTCACGTATTTAAATATTCAATCTGTCGACTATGCGTTACTCGCTTTCATAAAGAAACAACCATTTATAGTTTTCTCAGCTTTTGACTTTGTGAATGTTCTGGGAAATTCTTCAATGCCTTCTTGGGTCTGTTCAGATTGTTTATATATGTAGAAGTTGAGACACAGACAGTTACAAACCAGGCAGTTCAAAGATCTATGTAAGTATTTGTTCATGTTTTTTCTTTTTTTCATTTTGATTACTAATGTTGTTCATGCTTTATTTCTTTATCTTATTCATTTTCCTGTTTCCTTTTGGCCAGTTATCAGTACTATAACCACCACCACTTTGAGATCAAATATACACTGTTTTGGATTTGGTTTAATCTAAGTAAAAAGCTTTACTTAAGGTAAGTTTTTCGAGAATTTGCTTAGTACTCATCTATTATATTAGATTATAATGATAAGACTGCGAGCTATATAGTCTATAGTTCTCTCTCCCCTAATTTTTTTAGGAGCTATATAGTCTATAGTTGTCGTTTTCCTTTAATTTCCATATTTTCTTTTAACTTTTCTTATATTTTTCTTTGTTCTTTTTTTTTCTTTATTACTAGACAAGATAACATCAGATCAAATAGTTCGATCAATAATTCTCTATCTGGTTTGATTGTGGTGCAAAATTAATCGATTATAAAAACATTTCTTATATGATTTTTTTTAATAATCAAATTTTATATAATATGTTTTATTATTTACCTATACTTAATACATAAAGATATATTTATCGATGAATTTGTTTTAATTTAATTCTAAAATATATATCTTTTTTTTCATTTTTCTCTCCAAACAAAACGAGATGAAAGTAAAGTATAAACTTATAAATATGGTAGATATAGAATAATAAATTTTAAATTATATAATCTAAATTTGTATAAAAACAAATGAGGTGACACACGTCACCTTATGCTTCACTTTAAACACAAATTTTGTATCAAAGTTCTTTTATTATTGAGTATTAAAGGTTACTATAGAAAGTGTCTATATTCATTTATATTTTGTCATATCTTACAAATAAAAATCTTTTTTCTTCTGATTTGATAAATTTTAATTTGGCCATGTTCTCTTCCATTATAACATTATACAGATATTCAAATACAAACACTTGGAAAGCAAAAATGCAGTGTCTTATTGCATTAGCGACAGGAACACTGACAAAACTTGGAGAATCCTTAGTTGTACCAATTGGAAATCAATTTGGATATCTAGTTCACTATAAGAAAAATATAAAAGATCTTAAAAGAGAACTCAAAACATTGGAAGGTAGAAAGCAAGGAGTGCAAGGTGTGGTTGATGAAGATAGAAGAAATGGACGTCAAATTGTATCAATTGTACAAGATTGGCTCTTCAAAGTGGAAAGAATAATAGATGAAATAGAAAAATTTAATGATTTTCAAGTAGAAAACAATTAATGTCTTGATATATGGTCTCCAAATTTGGTGTCAAGGTATTCATTAAGTAAGAAAGCAAAAATATTGATAATGAGTGTTACAAAATTAAATGAAGAGAAATTTGACATCATATCATACTCTCTACCAACACCAAAACTTGGATCCACCTTCTCAAATGTTATCAAAAGTTTTCCAAGCAGAAAATCAATTATTACAGAGGTTTTGGAGACATTGAAAGATGAAGATTTTAAAATCTTAAGTATATGTGGAATGGGTGGTGTGGGAAAGACAACACTTGTGAAAGAAGTAATTAAAATTTTAGAAGTATGCAAGCTATTTGATGAAGTTGTAATGGTAGTGGTTTCTCAAAATCTTGATTATGTGAAAATTCAAGGTCAAATTGCGGATGCTTTAGGCTTAAGATTTGAAAAGGAGACTATTCAAGGGAAAGCATGTCAACTACATGAAAGATTGAAAGGTGTTGATAATATTTTAATAGTTCTTGATGATGTTTGGGTATACTTTGATTTTGAGTCTATTGGAATTCCTTCCAATGAACATCATAAGAATTGTAAAATTTTGTTTACATCAAGAAATGAAGATGTTTGTTATAAGATGGGAAGTCAAAAGAATTTCACGGTTTCTATTTTGTCTCCAAATGAAAGTTGGGACCTTTTTCATGATATAGTTTGTAGAAATCTTTCAACCAAGCTTGATATTCTTCACATAGCAAAAGAGGTTTCAAATGAATGTGGGGGGTTGCCAATTGCCATTGTTACAATGGCAAAAGCATTAGCAAATAAAGAAAAACATGTATGGGAAGATGCATTAGATCAATTAAAAAGATCTTCCATCCCTTTCCTTTTAGAAATGCAAGCTTGTGTATATTCAAGCATCAAGCTAAGTTACAATTTTTTAGATAGTGCAGAAGAAAAATATGTTCTTTTCCTTTGTTGCTTATTTCCAGAAGATTTTGACATTCCTATAGAGGTTCTACTCTGGCATGGAATGGGTTTGCAATTGTTTATTAATATTAATGCATTGTGGAAAGTTAGAAATAGAGTGCACACCATTGTTGATAAACTTAAGAGGCGTTTCATGTTGTTAGATGGTAATGTGGAAGAGTGTGTCAAAATGCATGATGTTATACGCGATGTTATCATATCAGTTGTATCTACAGAAGAATATGATTTTATGATACAATGTGACGGATATCAAATGGAACAATCTAAAAGAGAAACATGTTATCATAGCAGTGCGATTTCACTTATCTCCAAAGAAGCAAAAGAACATCCTAAAGTGTTAAATTGTCCAAAGCTTAAGCTTTTGCAAATAGCATCAAAGAAGAAGGGTTTGGTTCCTGATAATTTCTTCCAATGTTTGAATAAGCTTATGGTGCTTAGTCTACAAAATGTGCACATTCATTCAACGGCTTTAGTATTTGAAGCTTTAGACAACATCCACACTCTACTACTAGAAGATTGTCTTGTAAGTGACATATCTATAATTGGTAAGAAACTCAAAATGCTTGAGATTCTTAGTTTTTCTAACTCAAATATCAAAGAATTGCCAGAAGAAATTGGACAACTAAGTTCACTAAGGTTATTAGATTTGACTGAATGCAATGATCTCATTCAAATATCTACTAATGTCTTTGCAAGCTTATCTAAACTATAAGAGCTCTATATTAGAGTGCGAAGTCTTTCTTATAAGGAAACTAATCACATTCTTTTTGAGTTACAATCTTTATCCCATCATCTGAAGGTCATAGAGATTGTAATTTTGACAAATGAAGATTTACCCATAGATTTGTTCTTCAAAAGTATTGAGAGATTTTGGGTTTATTTGGGAGATTCTTCTACTCTTTCTCATGGCATTGTTCGAAAAGGATACTTGCATCCAAATATTTTGAAGTTGAATAATGTATATTACAAATATATCAAGANTGTGAATAAGCTTATGGTGCTTAGTCTACAAAATGTGCACATTCATTCAACGGCTTTAGTATTTGAAGCTTTAGACAACATCCACACTCTACTACTAGAAGATTGTCTTGTAAGTGACATATCTATAATTGGTAAGAAACTCAAAATGCTTGAGATTCTTAGTTTTTCTAACTCAAATATCAAAGAATTGCCAGAAGAAATTGGACAACTAAGTTCACTAAGGTTATTAGATTTGACTGAATGCAATGATCTCATTCAAATATCTACTAATGTCTTTGCAAGCTTATCTAAACTATAAGAGCTCTATATTAGAGTGCGAAGTCTTTCTTATAAGGAAACTAATCACATTCTTTTTGAGTTACAATCTTTATCCCATCATCTGAAGGTCATAGAGATTGTAATTTTGACAAATGAAGATTTACCCATAGATTTGTTCTTCAAAAGTATTGAGAGATTTTGGGTTTATTTGGGAGATTCTTCTACTCTTTCTCATGGCATTGTTCGAAAAGGATACTTGCATCCAAATATTTTGAAGTTGAATAATGTATATTACAAATATATCAAGAGGAGTGTGACATTTCAACAATTACTTGAAAAGGTTGAAATTCTCAATTTGGTTGCTATAAAAAACATGAAAAGTGTCATATTGGAGTTAAATGACAGGGGTTTTCCATTTTTGAAACATCTAAGTATTGAGTTTTGCAACAACCTTGAATATATTGTAGATGTAGTTGATGGTTTTATCTTTCCTCAACTTATATCAATTTCTTTAAGTAATTTAGATGATTTAAAAGGGATATTCAATGTGTCTAGTTACATGAGTCAAACAAGTGACTTTGCAAAGGTTAAATCCATCACTTCATCTCAATGCCTTGGAACCCTTACAAACCTTAAAATAGAATATTGTAACAAGTTGAAGACGGTCTTCACATTGTTTCCAAGAACAATTAGTTTGGCTACACTTCAATGTTTGCATGTGGTTGAAAGCTATGTAATAGAATGCATCATCTCAAGTAACAATAAGTATGACGAGAAGTCATTGATTGAGTTTTCCAATTTAGTAGAATTGAAGTTGCAAGAATTGCCAAACTTGATTGGATATACAAATGTTATTCGTGAGCATTGTTCCTCGACAATCCAAGTAAGTTTGATATTCTTTCTCTCTCTCTTTATATATACATGTGTATACCATACATTTATGTTAAATTTCATATCACCCTTTTTAGTGAGTGTTTGAATGATATTAATGGTAGATATAATTATTTTAAAGATAATTATTATAAACATTAGAATTTTAAGTAATTTATCAGTAATGAGAATTACTATGTAAATTTCGTAAACTTTCATGTCAACGTTTTATATCTTATAAAAATCTTAATATTCTATGTTTCTCATTATTTTAGAATGCTTTTTATAAATCATTTTAAATAATATATAACTTATTTTATTAATATACAAAAATAATGATAAATAAGGAAGTTTACATATAAACTTCTAACATTGTTTAACTTTATTGAGAAAAAAAACATTGTTTGCTTGTAAATCATGACAAGATGGATTGTTTAAATCCTAGTCTTAGCTTAAGTTGATACTTCTTTGATGAATTTCTATTTAGTTCCCAAGATGGATTTTATTATAACAACACAAACATTAAAGGTGAAATAAAAACAATAATCAATAAAATTAATAAATATTAAGATAACAATTACATGATAATATGTCCAGTTAAATCTCAATGAAAGGAAAGTTTTAGCTACTCATATTCACATAGGAAGAATGCTTAAAAGAAGAAGAGTTTTTATTATCTCCAGTGTTTAAGTGTCTAAGTTTATGAAAATGAGGTTTCAAAGTTTTCCTTCTAAGTTTATGAAAATAAGGTTTCAAAGTTTTCTTTTTATAAGGATTGAGTCTTTTCCATAGTGGACTGTAGATAAGTTTTAAAGAAATGTACTTTTTAAGTGCACATAAAACTTATTCTTTTACTCTTTAATTTTGGTTTAATTTTGGTTTAAGATGCTAAAAAGCTAAGTAGCTTAATGAAAAAACACATCATTCTTTCCTTTATGACCTTACATAAGTTAACCAAAATTATGTAGCTTAAGTTTTCAAATTTTGATTAATTCTTTTTTTAGGTCCTTTCTTATGTTACATATAAATATGTAGCTTAAGTTTATGAGAGTCATGTGTGTATAAGAAGATACAAGCATATGAATTATGAATCTAACGAAAGTTGGAATCTCATTTTTTTTTTCTTAAATCATGAATCAATTCATGAAAAACTTGAATCAAATGATATCACAAAAAGAATAAGAAAACATATTAAACTATAAAAAGTTTAACTTAAATCCAATTCAACCAAACAAAGGATAAGAATTTATAAAATTGACATTCTCACAAGTTTCTAAAATGTCTCAAATTTTCATATTGAAAAGTTAAACACAAGGAGAGGATATTTATGTTAGTAGGAGTAACCATCCAAAGTTTCAAAAGTTCTTATTCCCATTTACAATAAAATGAATTATAAATAAATGCAAATCTAATTCTAGGAACTTCGAAGGGTTTTAGCCAAAGTTGCAAAAAGAAAAAAGGCAGGAAAGTTCAAAATTTTTTTTTAAATCTAGATGGAATGACCAAAGATTATTTCTCATTTTTCCAATGTTGGGTCACACTTTTATGCTTTCATTTCAATTATGAAAAGGCTTTATTGATTTGAATTAGAATTTGAATCTAACTTTTCTTCTTGTTGGCAAGTAAAACTTGCTTATGTTTGTACTCCTCAACACAAAAATTCTACAATGAATTTTAGTTCCAAATGATTGTGTAAGTATCACCTAAATACAAACATTATTTAACTAATTATTCAAAGAAATAAATACTATGATTTATAAGTCTATGAAATAAAATGAATAAAATAATAAACTAATTTTATGAGTAAAAATATTTTCTTTTATAATACTCTTTGTTAGACTTTGCTTAAAAATATATATTATTTCTCTTTTTCTTCTCTCTTTTTTATGCACTCATCGTAATGCTCATAACTTATTTTATGTTTTTCTCTAGAACCTCATTCAAGCTACCCATAATTTAGGGGTGTCAAAGTGATCTCACCACGACTTTGATTAAAATAAGTGATCTCAACCTTACTCACTTTATAGTGAGTTGTTTGTATTCCAAAGCAATCAATTTTTTCAGCAAGTAATTGGGTAGTTTGTAGTAAACAAGTGTGGTATCCACAAGAATTTGGTAAAAAATACATTGTTCTAAATTAGCTTGACCTTGAATAAAATAGTAAAGAGGTGCATAGAGAGTATGGAAACAAAATTCATGTACTAAAATAGAGCTATTTTATCTATAAAATGCGTTGTAAAACAGTTTGTAATTGAAATCGATTGACTTTAAGATGATAAAGTCGTGTTGAAACTAGATTTCACCACATTGTCCCTCTCTTGTAAAGGTTCAGATTATTAGATTATAAAGATGCACTTAATCATGTTTTGGGAGTTCTCTTTGAATGTAACTCTAGGTTCGTCTCTGGAACAATAGAGCCTAGATCACAAAATTCAAGTATGATTTTTCAGTGATTGCTTGAATGGATCACTTGCATTAAGACCAGGATTTTATAACCAACTAGAGCTTTAGATCTATTTTTAGCATCTAAAAGCAAGAAGAGAATTAGTTAAACCATAACTTGGAACTAGTTCTTACTCAATCCCAAGCAGTGAAATAAGATGAGTGATCAGTTCATCCAAACACCAAGCATAAACCAATTCAAACATGTAATTAAAAGCATACTTTCTTAAATATAAAACAATGCTAACTACAAGAGAGTTTCAAATAGTTACATCTTTCCTTCAACACTTTAGGAGATTTAGATCCTCATAATGGATGAAAAGAATACAATCCAAGGAAGATTCATCATCCCTAAACCTCTAAAGTATTCTTTAAAGTATAAGAAGAGTGAGAACTTTTAAAGTTCCCTAGTTTATATAGATCTTAAAATAAGGGCAACGTTTAACTTCCAAGGCATTCAGGTGAGGTGTCCACATAGGTTTTAAAGGTCCTTTGACTCAAGCTCATCTTAGTGATTTAGTGTTTAGAGTGCAGGGTAGTTTGTATCTTGGTGTAGTGAGGGAGGGTGTCCATTCACTTTCTATAATAGGATTAGAGAAAGATACAAGAGACCGTTTATTTATACAGGACAAAGGTCTATTTCTTTCGTCTCTGTGTCGCGCGACGCCATGGAATTTACGCGTGATCTTCCAGACAACACGAGTCCTAAAAGGTGTAGTTCTGGATTCACTCATGTGTCGTACTCGCAATAGGAATCAGTCTTGCGTGCATATCCCCATGTTTCATCTTTGTGAGTTTATCTATGTTTGCTCTCTTGAGACATCATCTAGCACACTGAGTCATCTATTCCAGAGTAAGTTGCTCCTGGAGTTAATTTTTGTTTATGGTTATGTATTACTGGGGTTTGTATCGGTGGTATCTGACGGGTAGGTGTGTATCCTTATCTATAATAAGATTATAAAGGTATCAAAAACAAGTCAAATTTTTCAAGTGTTGTAGCCCTGAGATAACTTCTTTGAGAAGGAGTCTTCATGGCTTAGCCTCAGGTCCAGTGCTTAAGGTTTCCTCCAAGGTGAGTTTGCTCGAATGGCATCAAGCCTAAGTTTTCAATCGTGCCAAAGTTAGTTTGCCTAGAATTTCCTATATTTCCTCCATTTCCTTATTTTTCTCCTTTAACTCTCTATAATTCGTTAAAATTTGTAAAACAAGTCAAATTGGGATGATTTCTACATATATTTAACAAAATCAAAACAAGATAAGTGTCAAATAATATCAAAATGTAACTTATATTGGAAATTTATCATGAGCCAAAATATTTTACAATTCAACTCAATCACCATGGGTTGTTGGATTAAGTGGGTTGCTCACTTACCCATCGTGACCACAGATGAACCAAGTAACACAACAGGAAATGTTAAAGCATAGTGTTAGTAGTGAAAAAGAAAAGGAAATATAGAGTTACGAAGGGGGAACATGGAGGAGGGTGTGGAGGAACGCAAAGGAGTGGCGAAGAACTGAATAAAAGATGATGGAGATGTAATAAGATAGACTCAAAGTCTAGATCTCGATACCAAAAACAAGTCTCCATATAATCACTTATGACAAGACCAAAAACTACTCACCAAGGAGGTTAGAGAAAGAGCAAGAGAAACAAGTGCAGAGGGAGGCATATGATGAAGCGAAGATCATGGAAGGATCAGTCTTGAGACAGTGATGATCATGGAGTCAGAGAGTGAATGAGTCGTGGCTAGCCTCTAGAAGCTAAGATGGGATAAAATTGGAGGGAACAATATTGTGTGAGAGAAGAATTAGTCTTCTTAGAATTCTTATGGAGTCAACAATGTAGTTGTCATTATGGAAGATGTGAAACAAAGAAATGGTAAAGAAATGTAAAGAAAGAAAAAAAAAACTTAAGATTTCTTTTCAGGGTAAAAAAATTATTAAATTTATTTTAAAATATAAGTGAGTTAAATGTAAGTCATTAACCTAATTCAAATTTGTATAACTTATGAATTAAGTAAGACTTGTTTTGGCTCGTAAGGAATAAAAAAAAATCAATTTTGACCTAACCATCTTAATGTTCGTAAAAGCTCTAACTTCCTTCTAAACATTACCATAAAAAAACTAACCAAGAATAAATATGCATGATATATTAAAAATAAGAAAGAACTTTAAATATAAATATAACCAAAACTAAATGAAAAGTAATTACAATTAAAATTAAAAAATAGTTCAAATGATTATATTAATGTAATAAAAAAACGCATAGATACCAATTATGAAACCAATACACCATAACTTATTATTGTTCATTATTTTTTTGATATTTTCTCACCATATTTTGACAAAACATCTTATTTTACTAATTCACACTAATATTACACTATTTATTTTAACAAAACCTTATACAATCAATTACAATATTTATTCTAGCTCCATTCCTTAAGATGATCCTAGCTACCAAAAAAGTATAGACTGGATGTCTAAGTTATTAATACCAATTTCCTTTCCTACGTGAATATTGTGAAATGTATTATTAGTATATATCTCATTTTCCATATAAAAAAAGCATAATTAGTTGGTCTATGAGCAGTAATCCACTCGTTGATTGAAAAAACAAATCTTGAATCACAAATAATGTCATTAAATATAATCACTTCTTAAACCATTTAATAATTATAGGTATTTGGAATAAATGTTAAAGTTTTTACAATATTAATCAAAATTTACCTATTTAGAATTAGTTTTATTGATCTTGATGAATTACGTAATTTTTAATTATATATAGGACCAGAGGTTGTAATTGCCAGAATATAACTTTATTTTCAAAAAAGAATGTATTAAAATATTTAAACATATATCTTTTATATTAATTGCATGGTTTAATGATTAATTTTTATCAAGGCTGGTAAAATTTTCGAATCATATGCTGTTTTAATACTGCATATATAATTAATCAAATCATTTCAATTAACTAAAGGAAATAAGAACAATACACAAAGATTGAAATAAGAAGAGATTAAATATGGTATTTTGAGGTTAATAAAATGATCAAGAAACTAAATGAAATTGTCAGATTAAGTCATGGTTATTAAATTTATAAAATTTATTGAAATAGTTAATCTACTCTACATATATTAGAAATATTAGTATAATTTAAAAGTAAAATAAAATAAAACCTGCTGTTACTAATATTTTTATGTAATATTAATTTTAAAGATAAATATTATTTATAGATAAATGATATTTTACATTTATTTTATTTTAATCAAATTAATTAGAATTGACTCTTAAATGTTTTTGTTGTATCTATAAATACCGCTTAGTTGAAAGGAAAAAAGACATAACAAAAATCACAATTGGTACAAAAGTATTTGTCTGTTTTTTGTATTTTTTTAAAAATTAGTGTTCATAATAAGAATAATGTTTTGGTATAAAAATTAAATAGTATTTCATCAACTACATAAAATGATAATTCAGTCGTTATTACATATTTTGAAAAACAAGGAATTTATGCAAACTATGTATTTTGTAATCTTCAGAAGTCTAATTCAATTATTTGTGTGCAGATTCATTGAACAATTAATTGAAGATGGTCAATTGCTTAGTTCAAAATGTGTTGATCAAATTATGCCAATTGCTTCTCTTTTCGAATCTAACTGTATGCAACTGTTCCCGAAGTTGGAAAAACTCTTCTTACATGCATGTTCTTCGCTAGATATGGTGTTTGATCTGCAAAAATCACAATTTCATGGTGAATCAATGGCTTTCTTATTTCCTCAGTTGAAAGAAATAGAGATATCTTGGCTCAGTAAGTTAAGACACATTTGGGGTAATGTTCCAAGCTACATTCAAGGCTTTCAGAATGTGAAATCAATCAAAGTGAAAAAATGTGATTCCTTAGGGTTTCTTCTAACTCCCAACATTGCAAGGGCACTTACTCAGCTTCAAAAAATGGTCATACACAGCTGCCATTCCATTGAGAAAATTGTTGGAAAAGAAGAAAACCTAAATGGTGATGATGAAGAAAAGAATGTGGAAACCTTTGTGTTTGGTCAATTAGAATCTCTAACACTTATTGATCTTCCAAACCTTATGAGTATTTTTTCAGATTCCTATGAAGTAATGTGGCCATCTTTGAGATTTTTATGCATTGATGGATGCCCTCAGCTTGTGACATCTTCCATGTTTACTCAAACTGTGGCAATGCAAGAGAATTTCAATGGCTCATCAAGTTGTTCAACAATATGTGATGTTGCAAATGGTACTTTTAAAGAGGATTCACCAAAGTTTCTTCAGTGTTGCCTTGGCTGCACCCCACATGTATTTTCCAACTTGAAGTTTAAGGTAAGTAATTTTTACCTTTTTAATTCCTTACCCACACAATTTTTACTTTCTTAAGCCTGCAATGAATAAGCTAACCATCATTTTTCATTGCAGGCTTCATCAACAGAGAAAGTCCCTTCTGTCAGCAATACATATTCCAAAGCAGAAACAGTATCCTCCATTCCAATTTTGGAACAAATGCAAGTAAAAGGATGGGATTCACTAGAAGTCATGTTCCTTCTCAAACAAAACCAACTTTCTGATGCCTCTAATACCAATTGTTTAGTGAAGTTGATACTTGCACAAACACCTAAAAGTTCTGTAGAAATCACTGCATTCAACAACCTCACTGTCTTAACTATAGATTCTTGTCACAAGTTGAGATATCTGTTCTCATATTCCATAGCAAAGCTCCTAGTGAAATTGCAAGAGATAAAAATGTCAAACTGTAAGGTCATAAAGCAACTAGTCCAAAGAGATGGAGAAGACAGTTTAACTCTATTTCTTCCTCAATCAAGTTCTGTCAAAGTATTTGAAAATTCTTCATCTATTGACCATGCTACCTCTTCCCAAGAGGCATGTGCCTTAGAGTGGTCATCTTTGAAGAGAATCAGCATATCTCACTGTGGAGTTCTAGAAGTTGTTGTTGGTGAAATAGGGGAGAAAATAGATACCATAATTGCTTCATTTGCTCAACTGCAATCTCTTACACTGAGCCATCTACCAAATGCTGTAAGCTTTTGTCTTAGACATTGTTCATCAGAATCACCATCCTTTGAGAACATCCATGGTAGTGGCTATCAAAACCATGAGGTATGTAATATATTGCTTACAATTTCCAAGTTTTGCTCATAAAATTATTGTCAGAGTAACAATTATGCATAGCTCAAAAGGTTGAGTTCATTTGAGTTTATGTAGAAAAACTTTAAAATATCAGTTGTTTGTAATGGTAAATCTTTTTTAATTTAAACTACAAAAAATATTAAAAAATTAATGTAATAAATACTAAAAATAATGTAAAAATCAAAATAAATATATTTCTTCTGTAAAATTAAAAAATAAGTAATAATGAGTAAAACAATTAAAAATATTTAAAAACATATTAAAATATATAA